CTTTTAAGTAAGATGCTGTTTCTAGGGACCACAAGGCTGTTGGAAGACGACCTTTTGACAAGATGGCGACTCTTCTTGCCTACCTTGGTCCTCCTGAGCACAAACCTGTGGCAGACACCCACTGGTCCAGTTTAAATCTCACAAGTTCCAAATTTGAAGAGTTTATGACAAGGTAATGAAATTGTCGTGGAGGGAACACACGTGGTGGGTGTCTGGGCTTTAGCATGGAAGGCAATATGAGTAGTTATTAAGGCTGCAGCTTTTGTTTTGAAGGGGAACTTAAAAGGGTCTGCAGATACCCTTTAGGTTTCTGAGTAGATTTCAATTTCAAGGATTAAATAGACAAGTGGAGACAGCATTAATGCTTGTGATTTAATGAAGCTTCAGGATTGTGTGAACTTCAAGATGCAAATAAAGAGGGTTTGGAATTTCTTCTTTTGTATGGTTGTTTTTTACAATGCTGTTGCTGAAGCTGGTGTCAATGTGTTGCTTTTCAGGCACCAGGTACATGAAAAAGAGGAGTTCAAAGCACTGAAAACATTAAATATTTTCTACCAAGCTGGGACATCGAAAGCCGGCAATCCTGTCTTCTACTACATTGCTCGGCGGTAAGGAACCTTCCACCTTCCTTGTCTGAAAGAAACGTGTAAAGTCAAAGTATCCAGTGTGTATAAGAAAGGGGCCCCAACTTGGTGACAAACAAGATCTGAAAATAGCTGGTTTGTCACATTTTGGTGACAATATGATTTCTGCATTGGCCGAGTACGCTACACAATACCAAGTGCAGGTGAATCTGCTTTTCATAATCATGCATAAGGGCTGTTGGTGATGAGAACTATGAGGTTTTGTGAACGATATCTTCATGCCCTTCACTTACAAATAATTCACCTTCTTTGGTTTGCATCCTTATCTGAGATAGCGTGAGACCATTGGCATCATGAAATGCTGATTGGGATTTGGGTGTGCGATATTCCTTGGAAAAAGGTGCCAGCTCAGTGGGTGACTGTTTGTACACAGATGCTTGCGAGTAAACCTTTCCAAGTCTGGGCAAGCCACTAATGGGCCCTAATAAAGCCAGTGTATAGATGATAAAGGAGGATGCCACTTGTTTATCATGTCACTAACTGCTGAGTGCAACTACAGTAATCACAGTGTTGTTCTGTTATGGGTGTACATTGAAATTTGGCTGTGAAACACGTCCAGAAGAGAATTTGCCTGTTGAGACAATATGTGTAAAATTGGAAAAGGAGAACATAAAATACCAAGGACTGCAAAGTACTTTTTAATTATCGGTTTACTAGAGCTGATCACACACTGAGATAGCACAGCTTTGGAAAAAAGTGATAAACAACTATTTCATCTTCTGACTTGCCCAGAATAAGTTATTTCATCTTCATCTTTGGTGCTTTGTCATCTTTCCTGCTAAGAGGGATGTGGCCAAGTGATGCCTATTTGTGGTGTTTGTCTTATGGTTCTGAGCCTGATGTCATGTTTAAAGGTGTGAAATGTGGAAGGACTGTGGATGGCAGCTGCCAGCGTGTTTGAGGGCTTGCAGCCGGCTGGGGTTTTTTGGTGAGGGGTTTTTTGGGGGTTGATTGAGATCTTGTTGCTAGGACATTGTTGAGTCATTTCACTGATCTTTCTGGATCAGTTTATACCCTTCTTGTGCTGTGAAATTTAATTCCTTCTGTCATTTTTCTTCACGTTTTGTTTCCTGGGCAACAACCAGGCTTCTGGAGCCGGTGCTCTTCTGGCTTTCATCTCCACACTGTTACAAAATGATCGATAAATATTGATCCTGAAGTACTGCCATCGAGTTTTAAAGCTGATCCCCAGCTAATTAATAGGAACCAAACCCCTGAGTTACTGCTTCAGACCGCAGCAATTTTAACCTTTCAGAAGCAGCACGCTGCTGTTGCACAGTGTGCTAGACCTTTTCTGGGGGCTTTGAACGTTGTGCAGAAACGCTAAATGGGTCTTTTGGAAAGAGGAATGTCGCTGGGAATAGACGATTTGGTATTTAGCGTGGAGTGACTGACCTGTGTGTGTAAAACCCGGTGCCACCAGGTTCACATCTGTGCCCATCGGTTTCGTTTCAGTTTGACTGCACAGTTGCCAAGCAACAAGTGCACGACTCCCACGATTCCCAGCCCACTCCCTGCGCCGTTATCACCTCATTTGTATTCCAGAAAAATACAAGGAAACCCAATTTGCCGTCTGCTTGGTTGAAAACAGTCTCAGTAAGAGCCCTGCTGCCTGCACTGACCCCAGGCAAGGTTTGGGTAGAGGGTATAGCCCTGGACTTGGGAATGCCATCTTACTGTGAAACCCATCTGCAGCTGGTTTGTATCCTAGCTTCCCAATCCTGTGTATTTGGAAAAACCCACAACCCCATTTGCATTTCCAGCTTTTGACCAGCATGCTCAAGACTTCGAAGTCATCCAGTTTGGGGACTCAATTTGCCACAGGCAACGTCTGGAAAACAATATTTTTTATAGAGTTCACTAAATCCTCTCATTATGGGTGAAACATTCATAGAGCATTTAAAGCTGACTCCATGCAGGTTTTTTTGCATGCAGTAGAATTTGGTGTCCTGTATCACATTGTTCAGCAAAGACACGTGGAGTATTTGATGTCATTTCCTCAACTCGAGGCAGCTGAGTCACAGCACCTCATTTTGTGATGTCTGTCCTACCTTGCGAGCAAAGCTGCTCTAAACTGAGTGGGATGGAACCATATGGATGGGATAATTCTAGGAAATACCTAGTTCTGAACACAGTAAGTAGGTTGATGCTGTTTGTAGCCAGTCGGTACTTGGCAAATACTTTGTCCAGAGAGGGTGGCAGGCAGTGATGGTTTCTGAATCCTGATCCCAGTTAGTGGAATTTATCAGTTCAGGTCAGATAATTTAACCTGAGGAAAATAGATGGAACTTGTGCAAGTGAGCAGCTCTCTTGCACTGCTGGTGGCCACTTGTGCTGGCCGTGGGAGGTACCATGTACAAGCTGCTTGTGGTGTAGGTTGTCTCAACTTTGGCTTGGGTAACTAGTTCTTATCTAATTAAAATACAGATGAAATGTCAGACTTTGGGGGTTTTGAAGTTTTCTGTTGTATTAAACATTGAGAGTCATTTCTGAGAGGGAGAAAGAGCTGCCTTTTTCTGGTGGATAGACATGCTTTAGGAGTTCACAGGTTCTAGAGGGTAGGAAGGGAAAGGGTAGACCATTTCTTATCTCATCAGCTTACTAATAAACAATACTAGGGACACATCAGTATCCAAATAATATAATTTGATTTAACCACAATTTCCCCCCATAAGGAATGAAGATTGAGCCTAATGTCTGCCTGAGATGGGTTTGTATAATAAACCAGTACCTGTTCAGGGATACTGCCACGCTTATGTGGAAAGAAGCACTGTCACTAATTAACTTCAATACAAACGTAACTTTATTTTTACTGAAATGCCAATGAAATAACTGTACAAATTCATTGTGTAACATTTACTGTTAGAAATTAAAACACATTTCTGGTTATAGAAATACTGTTCACAATTGGAAAGTTGTGATTTCTCTGATACCAGTGGCTGTAAGTGGTCTACAGCCCTCACTGACACCCAGCAGGAAAGGTAGAGGACTCCAGCGTCAGTAGTGAGGTTTTCTGGGTTTTGCAGCACCTTCATGCTACAATAACTGGAAATTAAATGGCCTGAAATGAATGGAAAACATTGTATAAAGATTTGTGATTTTAGGTGAATAATACTTTTTTCAATGAACTTGTTCTTCAGTTTTCATTTCATGCTGTTAGCAAAACTTCATCTGTAGCATATCAGGTACCTTTGCCACATAATTTATATTATTTTCCTAGAGTGGGCAGGACCATGCGTGCAACTATTTCTACTCGCTGGTGGTGCAGGTGCCAAGGAGAATAGCGTTCATGCTCCCCCTTGGAAAGCAAGGGGTTGGCATGTTCAAGGCCATGGACTGAGTTCAGTTCTTGCTCAAAGATTCCAGGGTTGTTTCAGTGACAACTAATCACTTCATTGAATTGTTACATGACTTGTATTAGAAATTGGCTGAGATTTCATTTTACTGATCAGAAAGTAGTAGTTTGATTTGTGATATTCTTCTAAGCATAATACGTTAACGTTTCAGACCTTTGGATAAAGTTCATTAAGCTGTGTAGGTAACTCCTTGCTGTTGGAGTGTCATGGCATTGAACATCTTGTGTTTTCCTCTACTTTTATCTTTTCTCTTTAAATACGGAAAGTGAGAAATAACTTGCCTGCAGCCTCTAAGTCAAGACAGAGCAAAAAGAGGTATCAGCCCCTATCATTTTTCCCATGCTTAGTTAGACCATGTTGCCTCTCAGTTTACACCCTCTTAGCAGACATCATGGCATTGTCATATTTAATTCCTAAATTCAGAACTGTTGTTCTTCACATTTAAAATATGCTAATACATATGAAGCAAACATAGATACACATGCTAGCAGGTTTTCTCAGGAATAGCTTCTGGTTAGTGGAACAGCAGGTTTAGTGCCTTTATTTTTCCCTTCCTTTTGCATGTCGTCATAACTTACAGAGAGTCTGTGCTGCTATATTACAGGAGTTGCTCACTGGCAAGTCAAGCAAGACAATGCAGATATGATACAGGCCTTCTGTTTTTTCCAGTTGTTTAATGACAAAATCATACATGAAATCAGTACTTAAAATTCTGATGGTTTATTCTGTGCAAGTAAAATTAAAAATTTAAATACAAAATAAGCACATCTTTAAAACCAAAACATGAGTTAGTTGCACTCAATTAAGACATATTAAAATGAGTAGCAGCTTAGTATCAAGACATTAGTGTGCACTTCTTCGATTAAGAACTGTTATTTTCTCTAGATCAGAGTCAGGACCTTGAATTTCTTGTGTTCTGATCCATCATTTCAGCTGGAAGTCTGAACTCCAGCTATGTATCCCAGGAGCAAACTCAGTAATTCTCACAAGACACAAGCCCTTAGTCAATAAACACGGCCACTGCACTAAGCATCACGACACAGAGCAGATACATCTCACGGATACTTGCTTGGGAGGGCACGTGAGTATTCAAAACATTTGTAGTGGCTTCCTCCTTCCTTAAGGTAGCAGTTGTGCTTTGAGGCATTTTGGAGTAGTTTGTTGGCATTCCGCTGGTGATGCTTAAAGTCAGAGGAGTTGTGGAGGATCCCATGGGAGGCGTCAGGCTGGAGTTCACCTCAGCTGAATCTCTGATGTAGATGGTGTGTGTGGCTGCTGCTTCTTGAGAGCTGACCTTCCTCGTTGTCAGGTCTTCTGGGTAGAGGAGCAGTGGTCGGTCCGTGCTCGTGAACACTACGGTTGGGCTTAAGGTTGCCAAGGTAGTGACTTCCTCAGCTTTAAACTGTTTATGCACTTTTGTCATTTGGGTTGCCCCTGGAGAAGCAGCTTTGTCTGCTGCCTTCATCCCTTGGATCATGGAGCTGGAGTCTGTCCCCATGGGAGCTGCTGAAGTCGGTGGGGCATCCACCCAGAGCACAGAGTGATTGGCACAGGGAGCCCCGACCACGCTGGCCGCGGTTCCCTGCACCCATCTGAGCAAATAAGGGATGTTTTGTTTGTCACTGCAGGACCATGGGTTGTTATATAGTGTAACCACTTGGAGCTGAAAGAGCTGGTCAAAAGCTTTGTCAGGAATGTACGTGAACTTGTTGTTGTGCAGGTAGAGGCTTGTGAGGTGCTGTAGTCTCACCAGTGTTCCTGGAAGTATCTGGGACAAGAAGTTGTTGGATAGATCCACGGTCTCTATGTTGTAGGGCATATTGGTTGGAACTGTCCACAGTTTGTTGCTACTGAGATTGAGAAACTTGAGGCTGCTCAGAGTGTTGTTGATCAGAACAGCTCTTTCCACCATATTCCTGGAAACATCAAGCACTCTGAGATTCCACTGGTAAGCTGTATCAAGTTTCTGAAGAACTTTAATGTTGTTGTTTATGGCATATAATTCCCATAAGGACTTGGGTAGGTGAGCAGGAACATTCTTGAGCCAATTATTTGAAATATCAAGGGTCCTCAAATTGGTGAATCTCGTTAGCTGATGGTCGAGATCTACAAACTGGTTAAAGGACAGATTTAAATAGGTGATGTTGTCCTGAAGTCCCTGTGGCAGCACAGTTAAGTTTCTGCCTGAACAGTCCACATTCCTGTCGTTTCCTGAGCATGTACAGTTAGAAGGACAGATACCCCAAACAGTGGGTGTGAAAAACAGAAGGACCAGCAGACAGGTAGATGTATTCAGTATCTGATATTCCATTGTTGCCTGAAAATAAATATACCAAAATGACACCCTTTAAATCCATGTAGATATATTTTATTTCTTGTTAAGGGCTGTCTCTGCAATGGCCACTTGCAGGAGAAATTAAGTAAAAACATCAAAAACCCCTTTGTGGCATGGTCCTTTTTAGAATTGTTCAAGAGAGACTTTACAAAGCATCCCTTCATAGACTGTCATGTTGTCTGGCAGAATGAGACTTGTTTTTTCATCTCCCTTTCCCCCTCAATCTCAAATGAGGGCTTTCTTCCGAAAATGCAAGTCTCTTCCAAACGTTATACAATGTCTGCTTCTTGTTTTTAGTGATTTCAAGCCTATATTATGTTTGGAATAATGTGTTCTTTTATACAGGATGAAAAAATGGCTGTCAACTGGATCTGCTTTACAAATCTCTGCAGTAATGTAGCATCCCCCCCATACATGCATCCTGTTTGCTTAAGTAGAATTGGTTAGAAATACATCTTAAATTGTTCGGAATTCAGTCTGAAACCCCAATTCCATGCTCAGGCTAACATGCATGTTGTTGTTTTTCCTTTTTATCTTGTTAATGACATTCTCAAAGCTGGTAACACATGTTTGGAAGCTGAATTAATGTTAGTAAGAAATCTCTGACACTGCAGCAAATTTCTGGTGCAAGCATCTATCATCAACTGAGAATTTCGCTCTTATTCCAGCTCGGGTTCTGGAGCAGGTTTTTGTGATTAAAGACAGAAAAAAAAGCCCCAACTTACCGTGATCCTTCTGCAATATCAGCACATCGTTCCTGTGAAAGATGGGAGCTTAGAGGTCGCCTTGTTCTGGAGAGTAGCTCCAGTTGCTGCCTGGGTTGTGCCTCTTCAGCTGCATCGTATTGCTGCTGGCCGGGCTCTGCAACCACCTGATCTGCTCGACACGGGGACTGCAGCGCTGGCGCTGACTCTCTTCAGTGCAAAGGGAGCATGTTCAGCAGCACAGTTGGGGTTTATAATTCCAGTTAGTTAACTTCTCCATCTCTGTATTTTATGCTGCGTTAATGCCTCACAGCTCAACGTGTGAGATCCCTGCACAAACAGCACCGAGTGCAGTTCCTGTCGGCTGCTTCAGATCCAGCTCTGATTCCGTTTGACTGTTCCTATTTAAGAAGTCACGTTGTGATCTTTCTTTACCTTCCATTAACCCCTCTTCCTGTAACAAGGGTTAGTGTTAATTTAGGCTCCCTGCCTTAAGCTTTTTTTTGATGCTGCTCTGCCAGAGTAT